GCCGGATGCGATTCGCCCGGCCCCGGAGGAGCTGGAGGTGTCCAGCGAGGGGTCCTGGCTGGCCGATCTGGGCGGGGATACCTGGGCGATGGAGGGGATCGACCCGCAATTGCTCAGCGCCGCCGCGGGGGTGTTTGCCCAATGCGTCGCCCCATCCGATAACGAGGAGGGCGCGGGATTGGATAATTGTAGTTTGATTATTATCGAGCGACGCGCTTAGAAAAAAGGCGGTGCTCACTTTTCTTATTGTTATTATCATTATTATTATTATTATTATTATTATTATCGAACATCTATTGTAACTACTAGATATTTAAAGGAAACAATAAAGCGCTGGAATAACTATGGGTTAACAAAAGGAGGATGTTTTATTTCATGAACTAACCACCGTTCCCGCCTAGGGAATGTTTTTCACATTAACTCATAGTGATATGTAAAATAGTGATCGTCATATTTTACATATATGACTGACTTTTTTTTTTTTATTATCTATGCAAATAGACCAAAATGTTGAATATAATATAATTACATATGGAACAATTAGTGTTATAGTATATACTCTCTCTCTATCATGTACATTACGCATAAAAATTTTTATGTCTGATGTCATGGGCGGAAAAAAAAAAATGATGCTTTTATGCTACTTCGTTAGTTGTTATGTCATACTTCATTTTTTTTTGGTAACATTGTATTTTTTAACTTCATTTCTATCAATATGTTACTGTGGCATTTATATATTGACTTTCACATTTTATCACCTGAGAAATGAGAAGATTCAAAAAATGGCGAAAAAATATTCGTGCAATGTTTTGTTTATCAAATAACAAATCTTCTGGACTTGACTAATACTGCGTGGGAATACCTCACGTGATGGTCGTTTTTTTCGACCTCCTCTCATTACCCCCATTACTGACTTTCTGTTTTGGATACAGTCTCCCCGCTGTTAGCGTATCAATCTCGTATAAAAACATGTACAAAAATAAAGGTGGACTCTTCTTCCCTTTTTTCTTTTGGTCTTCGCTTGTAAAGTTACTCCTTGATGAATCCAAATTGTTCGATTTGTTTTTTTTTCAAGAACATCCGTGGAGACGAAGATGAGCTTGCGGCTTTCCACATTCTTTTTATATCCTCCAACATTAGCCATTTCACCGAGCACACATCCTCTACTTTTCATTAGTATCTATTTTGCTTAGCAGGTTTCCTTAGAAGAGGTGGGGGGAAAAAAATAGTGCCCTAAGTAGTATGATATATTTCACTAAACAACATTGTTTCCGATTATTGTTGTGTTCATATGAAGCAATCCTACCATATCTTGTCTTTCAATGGATCAGTTTCCGTACGTTCTTATTTTTTTTGTATTGGGATACAACCCGCATCATATCCGCTCATTATTTCTTTATTTCGGAGAGGAAGAGGAAAGAGGGGATCGTTTGTTATGACGAAAGGATTTTAGCGGCAAACTACTGATGGAGGGCTAGACTAGGTAATATTTCAATACCATCTTATTCAGTGTGAATTTTAACCTGGAACGATAATTTGCGTTATTTCGAGGTGATTGGAGTATCTGGGGAGGTGTAAAGGTGTCTTTGGGATTATTTCTGTAGAAGTTTTCGAACCGCACACAACCTACTGAACATTCTCAAAGATTCTTCTGGAGACAATGGAAATGTAATTTTGGTCCTTTGCCAAGCCGCTATTCGTGGCTACATTCTCAAAAGATGTTAAATCCAAATTTCAGGCTCTAGGGAGAGCACAAAGGTACAATAGAAAACAACGCTTTGATTAAGGGAATATACGTAAAGGATGAATTTCTTCACGAATTTTCCGTTTGAGAACTGTCTATGCGTACGATGTGGACGCTGAAATCTTTTTGCGCAACACTTTTGATAAAGATCAGACCTTTTTTTTTCGAAACTCCTTTTACATATGAAAACGCAAAGGTGAAAAGGAATTCTCGCTCTATTTTTAAATTTTTTTTTTGATTTATCAGAATGCTTAGCGTTCACTTCGACAGAAGCTCTGAATAAATAATACTTAGTTTAATAATTGATTCTATTAGTTTGATTTAACACTTCTTTCCATAATTAGAGATACCCTCTGTTGAGTCTACTTCATCTTAGATATCAAAGGATCTTATTCCTGTTAATATCCCCAGATGCTGTTGTGCACATGGCATTCCTAGTAGTTGTTGTTCCTTTAGTCTATCGGAACATGTTAACATATACATCTACCGCTATCAAGTAAATATTAATTAATTTTTTTTTAATGGGTTTCCACAAATAACTATCCTCCCTCCTCCTCCTCCTCCCCAAAAAGAAAAGAAAAAATAAAATAAATAAATAAATAAAGCGAAAGACGCTGAAGTCATCTTCTAGGGTCCATTTTCTGTCGTCCCGTGAGGGCGCATCTGCTGTGTCGGTTTCCATGATCGGTGAATTTAGCCCTCCTTTCGATTCAAAGGTTTAATTTCAACAAAGTACTTTCAGCTCGCACCCAATCCGAGATTCATTGAATTACACGGCAAGACAAGGTATATTGCTTTGGGAAAGCAACGACAACGATCGGTGGAGGCCCAATGAAGTGTCTTCGGCACTTTCTGCGGAAGTCGGACGACGACCTGTCCTCCCTTTATCGCGAGGGCGTGAAGGCCGTTCAGGAAGGCCGCTATGTCGTTTCTGAGGTTATTTTTAGTCGAATCCTCCACTCCCACCCGTCTTATAAATTTTGGGTAAACATGCACAACAGCGTACGGCAAACTCACTTTACAGGGGGAGGGGGTTACGATATGATCCATAGAGAATTAGATGAGGTCGTCAACGATAAGGAGACGGGCCTATGTGGTTCGATCGAACTTTCCTTTGATCACCAGGTCGTCCATGTAATCGACTTTATTTGTTTATGTATGGACATTGCCTACATCTACTTAAACGAACCCGCAGATGAGATCAATAGCAGACTTGCGATGGTGTATTATGCCATTGTCATCACCTATCTGTTTGAATTTTTCCATTTATTGGTTCTGTGGAGAACCGAAGTTGGCGATGGCTTGATGTCCCAGCCTAACTGCAATAACAACTCTTACGATATACTCCTTGCCAGCTCCCTAGACATCATGAGAATTTTTCGATGTCTGAAACACGTCGTCATCTTTTACTTTTTGAGCGCCATACTCAGCTACATCGTACTCAGTCTAGAGTATATTTATCATTTAGATGAGTCCAAAGATAAACTAAGGCTTCGGGTTTTAAATAACTGTTTGGAGTTAACACAATTCGCCCATCTTATTGTGAAATGGACTGTTAGTAGGATTCCAGAGTCCCCCACTTCACAGTTTCTCATGCAGAATATGCCTACCGTGGAGTTCACCCCCTATGAAGAGAATGAGGTGGAGGATGATAAGGAAAGTGCGTCTTTGAACGACGTTTCTTCCACCAACTTAAAACCTCATCATGTCAACAAGAACTGGGGAGTCTTTGTGGACACGATTTCGGGTTCCGAGGGCTTCAGTTCGCTCTTTTCGTATTCCAAGAGACTAAACCCCGGGATGCGGCTTGTGTGGGAGCTCCCTAAGAACCCCCCTGTACGGCTTCACATCCAAACGAATATTTTTCGGCATAATTTGGCCAAGATTGATCCCCCAACTGAGCGCAACGCATTTCACTACATCTCGTGGTTCTTTGCGGATGACGTGTCCATGAAGCCAGGGCAGAGCGCGCACTGCTTAGCGCGGGAGTTGCCAGAGCTGTTCGGGGTCAACGGCAGGTTCCCCCTCAAGCATGTCGTGGGCGATGTTGTCGAGCAGCACACGAGTCTGACGATTAAACCGAAGATGCGCGGCACTAACCGTGTGTTCTTTAAATCGGACAGCACGATCCGTCCTCTCACCGCGCTCGAGACTGAACAGAAAGTGAGCAATCAGAAACGTGGTGAGTATACCAGAGATAGCATCAAGCGTCATTTAGACCTCCGCGATTTTAAAGCACTCTCGACAGTTGGGCTGGAGGAGCTCATGCTGGTGGGTGCTCCCGTCCTGGTGGTCGCTTGTTGCTTGCTGAGGAAATTGGGCTTCCAAGATCGCGCGATAATATATGAAACGCTGTTGAATACCAACTCACAGTTGATGTATGGGCTGAACTCACCTGAGTATGATTTTCTGGTCTCGTTGCGTAATTTATGCACTGTTAAGTTGTAGTGAGGCTCGATGATGCCGTTTGCCGTGAGGTTGGTTCACCATTCAATGCCTCTCTTGCATTTTCAGTCTTTTCCCTTTTATCATATGGATACATGTTAGATTGTTGCTAATGTCGTGTTCGTGAGGGTGATTGGAGACACAAGAACCATCCCACCACCAGACGGGGGTCGAAAGGCACCCCACACCGCCCTCCGCAGTTGGTGCTCTTTCTCTGTTGCAGCCTCAAGCCCACCTCGTTTGGATGTCGCCGCACGGTGTCACATTCTCGAGGTTTGTTTTTCTTCGTTTCGAACCCCCTTTTCGTTTTTTCTGTTTTTTTTCTGTTGTTGTTTCTTTAACCTGTCTACACAGCCGTTTGGGCATCACCCGGTGAGGGCTCCAAACGGCAGCCTTCGTCACGTGAGGATTGTGACATCGTGCTGGGACGAAGCTCCATCACTGGTATTTGGGTGTAACAGTGGCGATCCTC